CTAACACACCCTTGTCGCTTACTTCCACCAGCAAGTGGGAATCTTGTGTACTTACCTTGGACTTGTAAGTGCGATCCTGAAGTTGATCTCAAGGATTGAGCACATCCAGCGAAATCCGCATCTGCAAATAGTCCTAACGATAAATCTTCAATTTTGTCTCCGACCCATCCTATCATTTCGAGGGACAATGTGGAATTAACATAACACATTAGGTGATGAAGACGGGCATCATCATCCTTTGTCCATTTGGTCACATTACGTGCCAATGCATTGATGGATCTCAAAAGGTCAAACCGCGCAATGCGGGCTGCATACAGCAGCTTCATAAGCACACTAGCTGCATGCGGAGCTAGATTCCCTCGGTTCGGTGACTCACTGTCTTGGCCAGGACGTGAGCTGCCAGTCTCGTAGAGAACAGGCATCTCTGGATCGAAGGAGTGTGCACACCAAGGACACTCAACTTTGCTCTTACCATCGGAAGGAGCTCGATATGGGCTGCTTTTCGTTTCCTCTGGAAGGCTTGGAGTTGACACCTTTTTCAATTTTGTGTCCTTGCCGATAATGTCAAGATACTTTTCTACCGATAACTTTAACAATCCTTCCATGTTATAAGTTATGGTCTTGACTTTCTTACCATTATGTAACTGGGTTTCACCTTGGGATAAAACACATCCTAAGTAAAGACCCAGGTCGGTTTCGGGTTCAATACGCAAAACAGTGCGCAGCATTTCCCAACCCTTGGCCAGATTTTCGGTGGGCCCAGCAAGCTTAAGATCATCCACGTAGATTACCGACAGCAATTTGAGCTCATCATGAAAATACATAGAAGGCCATTCCTCTCCAATGGGATTAAAACCAATTTCTTGAACCTTCTTGTCACAATGTTGTTCCCACATCGTGCCTGAGTCAGGATGTCCGTACAATGCTTTGTCGAGTCTTACCACAGGGCGACGAAACTTCCAGTATTGAATCTCAGGAGGCCATGCATCGGTGGGTAATTCCACCCAACACAAAGGTCCCTTCAACTTGGCCTGGATGTATGCTTGAATCGCATCTGCAAGCTTGACTGCATGTCCGGGAAGACATCCGTAGAAATCGGCCCATCGTGAGGCTTCAAAAGATGCAGGTGAGTTCCCCAAATCTTGAAAGAACGCTGCTTCCCACTGTTGATTCTTCACTTGGTTGCCCAGTAGAACACCCCTTCCTTTGAACTTTCGACCGGGGTTATCTTCAGATAGTTGGTAGTTCTTCTCGACACATATGCCATGAACTCTAGCCATGTGAACTTCCTTCTTGTTCTTCTTGGCCTCTGCGACAACATCATCATACTCACGAACCATTGTAAAATCAAATACTTCTTGATCTCGAAGACCTTTCCATTCCTTCAGCATAGCTTCTTTAGCTTTAGGATTGGATTCGATTTCGGCTCTGCCAACAGGACGTGATACCATGGCATTAAAGAGCTTACTTCCCAGGCCTCCAGGTGGTACTTTGGTTCGATGAATTTGGTTGGATGCAGAAGTACACGGCATAGTTGGGAACGCAATGAACTCATCGTCATCATCAGTGGTTACGTTCTTCATGTCTTTGACGTTAACACACTTGCCATTCTTGATCATTGTCGATTCGCCCGGCGTTGCCAAGGAGAATCTCGAAATCCCACCTGACAATGTGTTCCAAACTTCACCACTCCACGATGCTTTTGGGCCACGTCCTTTCTCGACCTCCGACCACTCATCCAATTCAGTGAGATATTCCTCGTCGTCCGGGACGTCAGTTGAAGCATCGGAACATGGGCTAGCATCAGCGTTCCTCTTCACTTTTGGACAATCAATGTAACGTTTTCCATGGACATCGTCATCATCGACTATGTCGTACAGGTCAAGATATGTACTCGTACATGTGATAGGTAAGGTGATCTTGTTCTTCAATACTTCACCAACACCTGCATCGGATTTCTTCGACTTTGAATGTGAATCATCCTTCTTACTTCCATCCTCCCCCTCATCGTCCTTGGACTTCGGCTCGTCCTTGTCTTTCTTTGAATCTTTCTTCTCCTTCTTCAGTGCTTTCTTCTTCTTCTCTTCAACTACTCTTTTGACTTTATCATCAGCCTCTTTCTTCTCCAACTTCTTCTTCTCGGCTTTGAGGATGGTGTTCCGATCAGATTGAGAGAGTTTGCGCCATTCTTCAGGAGAATAGGTTCCTTTGGGGCGTAATGACGTCTTGAAGAGTCTTCTGCCATCTTCTCCAATCTTGTATGGGAAACCCTTAACATTCAACTTGACCTTCTCACCATCATCATTGAGGTATATCTTCCCGTCTCCAGCTTTGCCTGACTTCCAGTGTTCTGGTTGAACATCGATGAGTTCTTGGAGAGTCATCTCTTCTGGATCTTTGTCTTCACCGAAGATACCCTCTGAGTCTTCAAGAGGCTTCTTTGAAACTTTTCCACCACTTGGTCCAGGTCCACCTTCATCTCCATCATCAAGCTCATCATCGTCTTCGTCATGATCATGTTCTTCATCATCTCCATGAGGTACTTTGGAAGGATCACCATCAAGGAGTTCTTTCTCTTTCATTCCTTCCAAGGTGGTGTTTACCCTCTCATACTCCTGCTTGCATGGAAATGTCAACGGAGTAACCATCTCTACCTTTTCAGTCAAATGAGGTTTGAGAAGACGATGTTCTGGCTTGCTAGCGTCGTCACCAAGGTTTTGATGTACGAACTCACTCAGTGGCCATACTTTGTATTGTCTAGACCAATGCATCCCGGGACCAATGTGATATCCTGCGAAAACTCCTGGAATAGAGTCAGGCTCAAACTTGTGAAGTTGTCCTGCTTCTCTGGTCTTCGGAAGTTTATAGTTCACACGAGCACCGTAGGGAATGAGTTTGCCAGCAAAGTCAGATCCGTGGAGTTTACACCAAGCACTAAGCTCATCATCGTTGGGTTCTACATTAAGTAGATGACATACACAAAGGATTGCCGTTCTCCAGAAACATGGTGGTAATCCAGCTTCCAACAGGCATGTAGAAGTAGCTGTGAGAATGAATTGATTTGTTCTTTCGGCGATAGAATTGGTTTGAGGTCTCCCAGGCAACGAATGATCAATTGGAATCTTCATCTCATTCATGGCTTCAATGAATTGTGGAGCATGATCAGAGTAAGCCTGTCTGACCTTCTTGGCGCCGATGAACTGCTTTACTGCTCTAACTACATCATCTTTGGTCATCCTGTCAGATGGATAAGCACCAATGATCCCTGTAAAACAGTCTCTGACGACTAACACTTCCTTCTCGAGGACCAATACGTCATCATGGACTTTGGATGTGTCCACAGCATCAAAGGTAATGAGATCGCCAAACTTCTTGAGTTCCCTTTTGTATGCACCACGACGAGTCTTGAAGTGTTTCATCTTTGCACGAATGCATGAGTCGCAATATGGATTCTTGTATCTGTGGGTCAACTTGTGATTCAAGCTATTAGCTTCTCTCTTGAGTGTTCCTCTTTTGGCTACCCTGGATTCACCCTCAACAACATCGACCTCGATGTCATCTTCATCACCTTCAGCGGCATCTTCAGGAGCACATGTCCTTCATCTTCGAAGTCTGTCTCATCACCAGGAGGTCCGTCGTAAGGAGTTCCTGGCTCATACTCGCCATCTTCAGGTGGGGCTTCTTCTTCTCCAGGAGTTGCCATCCGTTTTCGTCGGTTCGCTGCTCTTCCTTTCTTCTTCTTCTTGAGCTTCTTGACATGTCGGGAACAGTTCTGATCTTCATTCAATGTCTCAAGACCACTTTCCCCATCGAGATGGACTCTTCGGGAAGATCGACCTACATCGTCTATGTCATTGAGTTCATTGAAATCATCTTGAGCATGTATAAGTAGATCATTGATCTTCGATGCATGATGGCATTCGTGTGGAGTGCATTCATATGTTCCAAGATCAACATAGGGGATATTGTCATGGATTGTCAAGTCGATGCGTTCTCCATTCTTCGTGATCATGAAAGGCATCTTACCAGAAGGCCATACAAAAGAGTATCCCTCTTCCATGCATCGTTTCCCAAGGGACATCACGGAAGGAGTGTCATCTAATACGTAGGCTTGAGATGTCATGTCGAAGGTTCCCAGGTCAATCTCCGCTTCCGTTTGAGTAGCAGTTGAACCATTAGCAGTATGGAACATGATGGGATCACAAGTTCGTTGCTTCAAGTTCATCCTTTCAGCTTTCCTTGCGGAGATCAGGTCATGTCCGCTTCCAGAATCGAGGATGAATCTTCGATCTTTGGCTTGTACTGGTAGTGAAATGCACATTAGGTTCTTGGACTTCTTGAGGGATCTCTCGACTTCGTGTGCAACAAGCTCCTCAGTAAAGATCAGGTCTTCGTGATCATTGTCCAGTTTGACTAACATGTCGAACTTCGGGCCGATGATGATTCTCACTTCGTCTACATCACGATGGAATCCACATCTAGCCATAATGATGGCTCTGGCTCTTGCTCGGACTGAACCAAGAATGTTGTCAGACTTGGACTGATCATCGGTCAGATCATCGATCTTTCTGAAGACATAGGGTTTGTTGGGGTCACGATAGATACGTTTGGGTAATCCCTCCTGGTAGTCCTCAATGACGATCTTGTGTATTTCAGGTTCCAGATCAAATGAGATTCTGCGAATATCAGAAGACTTCTTTGCACTGGCTATCCTCGGTGAGGAATAATCCATTGCATCTTCATTGTCGCTATCAAAGAAGGAATCGATGGTAATGGGAGTTGCCTTCTTCTTAGGTGTCTTCTTGCTGGTTCTTTCCGATGATGCTGAAGGCGATTGGTCTGCATGTAGGAACTTGCATTTGCTTCCAAATGTGCAGGTACCCTTGTGCCAATTCCAACAGGTTCTCTTTTTGGGTCCAGCTGAAGATGAACTTCCTTTACCTTTCCCTCTTGATGAATCTCGACTTCTACTTCTCCCTTTCTTGTCTTTCATCTTGGCATCATAGACCTTCTGAGAATGACTGTAAAGACATTTGTCACCTTTGTTACACCCACCTTTGTTGAAGAAGTAGTTGCAGAAAATCTTCTTCTTGTCAACGGGTGAAGATGATCTTCCCTTCCCACCTTTGCCTTTCTTGTTGTTCTTGTCGGCATGAGATTTCGGAGAAGGTGTCGGGAGGACTGAGGCAGCTTCACTCTTCGCCTTTGCCTTAGGTCGCTTAGGAGGATCACTGGTAGATGATGCTGCTGCTTCGTTCTCCTTCTTGGTCTTGACGGGAGCGGCAGGCTTCTCTGCATCTTCCAAGGCTGGTGTTGTCTTGGTAGATGACAATGACATCTTAACAGCACGCTCTCTTTCCCTCAACAGTCGTTCTTGTTTTCCTCGTGCTATGTAGCCTTTGATCATGGTGATCAGGAAATCGTAGGTCTTTTCAGGATGCCCTTCATCGAAGGTTCGATATCGGCTGATATCAAAGTGCATAAGCTTTGAATGCTCAATCTCCCGGAATAAAGTGTCACGCAGTGAGTTGAGAGATGGACGATCATCTTGTTTCATGTTGTACGCTATGTCAAGCCACTTGTTATAGAAAGCTTCAAGCTGGTCATCTCCATAGTAGTTGAATACGTACAGGTGATGAGAGTTGTAAAGAACTTCAGTATGGTCTGGCGACTTGAAACTTACCAGAATCATGGCAAACAGTTCTCGTCCTTTGATGAAGTCCCCACTTTTCCCATACATCTGATTCTTCATGGACATTTCATACTTCACTTGCATGGATTTGTCCTGAGCATTTTCAATGACCTTTCTCAAAGCATTGGAAAGTTTGGCATCAATAGATTGAAATCTTATGTCAGGAGCCAAGGCTAATGCAGCCATGTCTGGTTGATCTGCAAGACAAGGAGCCAACCATGCTTTCCAATCGCTGTAGTTGCGATCTCCGCTAGCAACACAAACTTCATGAATGACACTTCCCTTCCAAGCTGAAAGTTCAGTAGTCTTTGGCCATGGATGGAGTGTGATCTTTTCCGCTTCCCTTTGGGATACAGATGACCTTGCCTTGTCCTTCTCAAGGTTCTCCAACTCCACGACATTAGTGTTGTACTCATTCCTGAGCTTTTCGAAGGCTTCAGCTTCTGCTCGATATTCTTGTTCTTCATCGTTAGCACGATCTTCAGCTTGTGAGAAGTTATTCTTATAGTAGTCCTTCCGGTCTTCCATCTTCTTCAATTCATCTCGAACTTCAATTCATCTCGAAGACTTCGAACTTCTTCATTCTTCTCTTGTTTCATCTCTTCCAATTCGGCTTTCAATCTGGCACACTTCTCTTCACATTCACTTCGAGGCATAGCATTATTGGAGGTTCCAAATAGCGTAGCCGGCATGTTCTGCAATGAAGATGAAGCGGCTTGATTTTCGAGTCTCAATGCAGCGATGGTGCTTGACATCTCTTCTACCTCAGCGAAGTGCTCATTGGCCAAATGGTGCATCTCGGTCAGGTGGCTTTCAGGAATAGAATAGTCAGTTGCTCCTTTGATCACAAGTCGTCTGTCATTCAACATCTTGATGGAGCGGCCTGCATCCCTGTGTGCACGTTCAAGAGATTCCTTTTGGGCTTCAACTTCAGTATGTAGATGGGCGACCATAGCGTCTCTGTCATCGATCTCATTGTGCAAATTGTCGAACAAGTTACTTGTCACATTCGGATTGTTGCTCATATGATCGATTTTGTCCAGAGCGTCTTGATACTTCTTGCCAATTGAATCGAAATGTTTCTGATATGTCTTGAGTAGACTCTCATTGTCAAGAATTTCAGCTCTGGCTCGAGAGTACAAATTGTCAACTTCTGCCTTGGACACTTTGAGACTATCACGCTCACGTACAGCTTTCATGTACATTTCATGTTGTAGTTCGCCTTGTGGTGATCTACTTGGTGATGATCTCCTTGCTTGTTGGCAGGAAAGTTCATGATACTGATTCTTCGACTCAGTCAGTTGATGTTGCATTCGGTCCACAAGGCTTTGCTTCATGTGTAGTTCCGAACGTAGTCCCATTATCCTGAAGTCCCGCATGCCACTTGACTCAGATAATGATTCCTCGGAAAGCTTGCTCTCTGATGTCATTAATCGTGAGTGTAGATTTTCATTGTGAACCACTTGCAATCGAAGTTGTGATTCCTCCAAAGCTAAATGATGTTCACATTCGGCATAACGGTCATGTTCAGATCTTATGTTACTACGGAACTCTATCATGATCTCATCCCTCTTCATGTCAGCGGCGTCGAGCTCAGTTTCCAGTCGTCTAACATTCATCGACATAGTGTGCTTCATCGTCTGGTTCTGATTGGCAACCTCGAGCATCTCGATACGTAGTGCACAAGTTTGGTCGTTAGCATAGCCGACTGCTAGAGCTTCTTGCTTCGCGTTCATCTCCGCGTTTTCCAGTTCCAGTCTGAGTTGATTGATGTGAGCATTTGCATCAGTACCCACATGTACCATTATTGCATTCGGTTGTCCCATTTGTTCATTGAATTCTGATCGTAGTTGAGAATATCTAAATTCCAAATGAGATGCTGCTTCATTTGACATAGTTCGATACCTCTCCAACTCTTCGATCCTGTAGGTTGCACCTTCGTCTTCTTGTTGTGCAGCTTGTAACTCAGAGTTCAGGATCTGCAGTTGTTCAGTCATCGATGTCATTTCTTGATGAGTGGTGTTCTCCAGATAATTAAATTGTTGATAGGCATAGGCGGCCGTTTCAGTCAATCGTGCCTGAAGTACGGATTCTTCTTCAGTAGCCCTGTCCAGTGATGTTTTGTATTCTGCTAATTCGCTCTGATAGGCAGTGAAGATGTCGCTACCACTTGATGGGGCATTCACTTGTTGATAAGATCCCACCCCTGATGGTGTAGCGTCCTGAATCGGTGAAGGCGGATTCGATGATGTAGGCTTTGCCTTAGTCCTTGGAGTCATCGGAGGCGACGATTGTCGTGCAGATGATCTTCTCTTTCCAGGTGTGCTGTCCCTATCTTCAATTGCTTGCATTGTCGATACTTGTCTCCCCCTCGGAGCAACCAGAGATCGTCTGGGTAGGCTCGGTCTCAGTTCTGAGGTTTCGCTTCCACCAGTATCAATACTCTGTGAAGAATTTGACTGCGTGCCGGCAGCTGGTGCGGCGGCATGTCCAGAAAAGGAAAATGCGTTATCGCTGCTGTCCTGCTCAGTCATCTGTAAGGTCCGCGGCTACCCGCTCGTAGGCTCCGTAGGAGACCTACGGCTGATAACCTGTGAATCGGAGATTGTGTCCGATATTTCCTTCTGATATTGTTGGACGGTTGTTCAATCAACCCTCAATGACCAACGGACGACGGCTTCGGCATGTGCTTCCTATTTCCTGGCTTATTGCAGTTGGGCGTCTTGAGCCAAAGGTGCATCAGTTTTGCGACCCTTGGCTGGACTAAGAATGGCTGTATACTGTGGGGATGTTAAAGTGTCCGTAGCTATATCCCCATTCGCATTATATTAAATATATTATATATATTATATATATTATATATTATATATTATATATTATATATATTATATAAATATATTATATATATTATATATATTATATATAATATATTATATATATTAAATATATTAAATATTATATATTTAATATAATATATATATTAAATATATTATATATATTATATATATTATATATATTATATATATTATATATTATATATTATATATTATATATATTATATATATTATATATATTATATATATTATATATATTATATATATTATATATATTATATATATTATATATTATATATATTATATATATTATATATATTATATATTATATATTATATATATATTATATATTATATATATTATATATTATATATTATATATATTATATATATTATATATTATATATATATTATATATATAATATATATTATATATATTATAAATATTATATATATAATATATATATATATACGGTTTCGAAACTGCTACGTGGCACCCTTGGAAACCCTTGGAAACCCTTGGAAACCCTTGGAAACCCTTGGAAACCCTTAAAACCCTTAAAACCTCAAAAAACTCAAAACTGGCCGGCCTTTGTCAGCACCTCGAAAAGCTACAATTGGCCAAACCTGCGTTCCCTCAAAAAAAACAAAACTGGCCGGCCTTTGTCAGCACCTCCAAAAGCTGACAATTGGCCAAACCCTTAAAACCCTTAAAACAATCAAAACCATTAAAACCTCCAAACGCTCAAAATCGGCCGGCCTTTGTCAGCACCTCCACAAGCTTCCAATTGGTCTATATATTCGGTTTCGAAACTGCTACGTGCCACCCTTGGAAACCCTTTAAAATTCTTAAACCGTTAAAACCGTTAAAACCTCAAAAAGCTCAAAACTGGCCAGCCTTTGTCAGCACCTCCAAAAGCTTACACTTGGTCTATATATACGGTTTCGAAACTGCTACGTGACACCCTTGAAAACCCTTAAAACCGTTAAAACCCTCAAAACCCTTAAAACTTCAGAACGCTCAAAACTGGCCGGCCTTTGTCAGCACCTCCAAAAGCTTACAAGTTGTCTATATATACGGTTTCGAAACTGCTACGTGGCACCCTTGGAAACCCTTAAAACCCTTAAAACCCCTTAAACCCTTCAAAAACCCAAAACTGGCCGGCCTTTGTCAGCACCTCGTCTATCTATTCGGTTTCGAAACTGCTACGTGGCACCCTTGGAAACCCTTAAAACCTTTAAAACCCTCAAAACCCTTAAAACCTCAAAAAGCTCAAAACTGGCCGGCCTTTGTCAACATCTCCAAAAGCTTACAATTGGCCAAAACCTTAAAACCCTTAAAACCCTTCAAACACTTAAAACCTCAAAAGTTCAAAACTGGCAGGCCTCTGTCAGAACCTCCAAAAGCTTACAAGTTGTCTATATATACGGTTTCGAAACTGCTACGTGGCACCCTTGGAAACCCTTAAAGCACTTAAAACCTTCAAAAGCTCAAAACTGGCCGGCCTTTGTCAGCACCTCCAAAAGCTTACAATTGGTCATACGGTTTCGAAACTGCTATGTGGCAACCTTGGACTGCTAAATTTCAAAAGTCATAATTTTTTAGTGGAAGTTCAATTTAAAAAAGCGTCCTTATTTTTTTTGGATGTGTGTTAGGTAACTTGTGTTTGGGATGCATTGCCTCAGATCGAAAAGGGATTCAGGCAATTCAGACTTGAATCATCAGCTTGGCTATTCCATCCGCAGATGGCGCTTTATCCCAAAACATAAAGCACTAGATTGCCATGGGCAAGCCCAAGGCAGTTGACTGCTGTACCAAATACTGCGTTGCCCTACTAGCGATCTCCAACCACACTGATCATTGTGAACATGTGGGACCTTGGCAAGTGGGTTTTGTCAAAGGAGGCCATAATAAACAGAATGAACTAAACAATCTTATCTATGGTGAAAACACGCACCTTGAAAACAGTCAATTCAGGACTTTGGTGCTGTTGTTCGGTCCATGGTGGCAGTTCCTAATTGTCAATACAAG